TCTGCTTCACCTGCTGGAGGAGGCGCCCCGCAACCCGTCCATGAGAGGTCTCCCGAAGATGCACAAACCGGGCGTACCGAAAAGGTATGAATGAGAATGAGTATCTTCACCTAACTTAACCTAACGGTGAGAGGTCTCCCGAAGATGCATAAACCGGGCGTACCGAAGAGACCGATCACTTCTGGTATTGGCAGCGCTCCCCATCGTTTGGCTAAGTATCTGGCTAAACCCCTCTCCGGTGCTATGGGGGTCATCAGTGATTCCCACCTGAAGAACTCTGGGGACCTCATCAGATGTCTTCAGGGTTCCGGGTATAGAAATAAAAACTTGCCAGTTTTGATGTTAAATATCTCTTCACTAATGTACTCACAGATGGAGCAATCCGAGCAGTCGAGAGGGTCACCAGCTCCATGACAGGCGCAGAACTTCCGCTGCCGAGACACCACTTCATTCGCCTGGTGAAGTTGTGCGTGGACTTCGGCTATTTCGAGTTTGCTGGTGAAGAATACCAGCATATAAGTGGTCTTGCCATGGGCTCCCCCCTGAGTGCAGTCATGGCCTGTCTGTTCATGGAGACGCTGGAGAGGGATATAATCGGCAGGCACTCAACTTGTCCCCAGAAGGTCGTGCTTACAACACACACTGACGCGACTTAACTCCGTCCACGAGAAAATCCAGTTCACCGTGGAAGAGGAAGAGGATCAGAAGTTACCTTTCTTGGACACTCTGATCCATCGGGGAGACGACGGCCTACGTTTCTGTGTATACAGAAAGCCTACAAATAAAGACGATTTTATCCATTACTACTCCGCCCACAGTAACAAAACAAAATCTGGTGTTGTAGTCGGGTTCTTCCTCAGGGCACTGAGGATCTGCAGCCCTGAATTCCTCGAGGTTGAGGTTGCTTATATAATTGATTCCTTCTTGAAACATAAATACCCCAAAGGCTTCCTACTGAACCTCAGAAAGAAGGCCGAGAATATACTCACATGATCTAATCCTGACCTTCTTCTAATGATTTTCTCATATTACCGTCATGCAACGTTTCCCAGGCGATCAGCAGGTATTTCGGCAACAGAGTGAGAATCGCCAGCACAGCCGGGAATAAGATACATGACATGATACGGGAGAAAAAGCAGCCTAAAAACAACACTAACAGTGCTGTGTATCGCATGCCCTGCAGCAGATACGACACAGCACCAGGATCAGCGAACACCGAGCTGACATCCGTCACCATAGGACTTCTAACGCCATGGTGGTCCATGTAGATGAAGCTGGACATCTACCTAATTGGAAAGAAGCAAAAATAGTCCATGGAGGACTGAACAGGCAGCAAAGAAAAATCATGGAAGCTGCCTACATCGCGACGGAAAATAACATCAACGCAGTATCGGGCAGGTTCAAATTATCCAAGGTCGCGGCAGCAATTATATGGTCAACGAGCGGGAGGTCACAGTCAGGTAGCTCGTCAGCTCATATGTGATATATATATGCTCTGTAATTCTTCTGTTGTATGTATTTCTGACGAAGATATAATTCGAAATCGATCAAATACATCTCTTGTATTGTGAAGATACTCATTCTCATTCATACCTTTTCTACATTATATATATATATATATATATATATATATATATATATATATATATATATATATTATATATAAATATATATATATATATATATATATTTATATATTACACACACACACACACACACACACATATATATATATATATATATATATATATATATATATATATATATATATATATATATATTGTAACAATCCCGCTTGTAGTACAGTGTAGGTTGACAATTTATGCAAGATTAAGTTTTAAGATGTCTAGGGGAAGCAGCGGAATGATTACAAGTAATGAAATTAGCTTGTATTACAGTTTATAATCAAGTATATATCTTGAAGCTTTTATTATTTTCTTGAATTTATGTGTTTATGAATAACCATCAAATGTATTCTTGAACCACTAGTTATTATGAAGTTATTAGTTAATATTATTTTGTCAAATAGTTATCTTTCTATTGGTTATTTCTAAATTTAGTTTTCCAGTACTAGTCCTTATTTCTATTATATTTATTAGCAGCAGACTTATTTAAGTATTCTTTTATATATATATATATTACGTGCATCATTCAGTATTCTTCATTACAATTAGATAATTCTCATTTAACGTTTCTAAGTAGTCTTAGGTTATCTTCTCATAGTAGGTTTATTTAAATTGAACAATATTTCACAAGTTTAATTATTTCAATAAATATATTGCACACAACAAAACAAACATTACACAAAATAAAGAAATATTACTTATGGTAAATAAAATTTCTTTTTGAATTCTGACGACGATTTAGTACACTCGTATTTTCCCTCAGAAAGCCGGATTACCGCATAACAATAATAACACCACTTATTTCCTTCACTTTTCACCTCATACTCTAACACATAGACAAAGTATATACTTCACCAGTATATTTAGATGCCACTAAGGTTCCAGATGTTCGAAATATTTTTAAAATTAGTCCACCGTGTACCCGTGTACCTGAGACTGAATGAAGCAATGGCAGTTCACGTCACCCAGCAGGTAAACTGCTGCGCCCTCCGCTTCGGAACCTCGGATTAGCGAATCCTCATGCTCAACCCACAATACGCACAGGCCGTGAATTTCGGTATATTGTAATAATATATATATATATATATATATATATATATATATATATATATATATATATGTGTGTGTGTGTGTGTGTGTGTGTGTATGTATATAAAATACAATTATATATGTATATATATATAAATATATATCTATATATATATACATACACACACACACATATATATGGATATATACATATATATAAATATATATATGTATCTCGGCTCATCGGCCTCGTTACAGCCTGTG